ACGACAAAAGAGGAACTGTAGTTGGTTAGATCAATTGTGAGACAGATGGAATTGATTATTTTTTTGGTGGATTGTGTGCATATAATTGATTCATGAAGCTGTATGAAATGCTGTCTACCAATTGAGTTTTAATTTTGGGAGGATAAGGAAAATATTAGATATTTAATTGTAATTTTAAATTATAAGTATATTGAAAATTGGTATAATTCTACTGAGGAAGTTAAGAGATTGTTATTATAAAACATAACAACACGCGGAGTTTTGATGCACTATTGCAATTCACATTGGGAAGAGTTTCAATTTGAAGTTTCACTTTGTTTTTCATTTATCACTCAGGCAAATTAAAATATTAATTATCTTCCATTATATTTGACTAATTTTTTTTTATTATAAGCTATTAATATCATGAGGGAGCTAATAAGTAAAATTAGATCTTACGGAAAAGGCAAAAAAGACCTTTGGCTTGTTTCGTTTCTCTCCAAAGGAAAATTCAATAAATATAAAACAACTATAAAAAGTAAAATGGGAATTTAATAAAGAGGACAAATACAAAATAAAACATACTAAGCTTGCAGCCGTAAACATAACTGCGATTTTCTGGTCACACAGTTAGCGTGGTTCCAAATTGAATACCCCCAGTACTTCTGAAAATTTGGAATCACAGAAAAAATATGCCGCCTTTACCAATAAACACGTTTTATATTTTCAATAAACCAAAACATATGCATCTTAAATTTATTGAAATACATTATAAAAATGGCGATAGAAGAGTAAATTCCCCATTTGAAATTACTATGATAGACGCCTTATATTTAATCAACAATGAACGCATACCATTTTATTGGTAATAATTATTTTATAACCGTCGCTAAACAGTTGACCCAATTTTTGGGTTAGCGACTACCAATGTTCAACTCCGTAACCTTGTAATTTTGAGCCCAATCCAGAAAACAAGCGATCTCTTGGTTCAAGTATTGGGAGAAATTAGCTTTTTTGATGGAACAAACCCGTATTTGTGTTACATGAGGAGGAGGGGGGGGGGTACCACGAAAACTTCCCACGTTTAGCTGACGGTAAGGGCACTCTAACCAGTGATTTGTCTACCAATGTGGATATTTTACGTCAGTACTGTGGTCGGGGCGAGTCGGGTGCGGAATTCGTATCAACCAGCCATCGCTGTGATTCGAACCTGGTTCACCTCATTGGAAAGCGAACCCCTTATCCCCTGAGCAATCACGGTTTAACATTCATGATCACTGCTCAACATTTATTTGATAAAGACGACCCATATAAGCTAGGCTTATCACCAATTTTTTTCAACATTTCCGATATTTACTCTAAAATCCATCATTTTTATTTACATTCTTCAATTCATGTTACTCTATACTAATAATGAAATGAAAAAAATTCTGTGGAGTGTTATGTGAGCAAAGCAAATGAGACCATTTCATCATCATAATTGGCATGACAATTCAGGGTGGGCCAAGGCCTCTTGCTGAAGATTCCTCCAGAGCAACCTATTTTTGAACCTGGAGTGCAAATCCTTTATCTCATTCACTTTAAAATCTGATTCCACAGAATCGAGCCATTGTTGTTTTTGACCAACCTTTTTCGACTAGTGATGGCTTTGATGCATTTTTTTTTTTTTTTACTGGATCTTTCTCATTCATTCTAATATATGAGCATGCCACTTCATTACTCATTTAATGCTCTTGATGATATCGGGCTCTTTAATTATTCTATAAATATATCCGAGTTAAAACGTCTTTATCAATGGCTAATTTTGACACCACGAAGAATATTTCTGAAATTTTTTTTTCCTCCAGAACTGCTATTTTGTGTTCTCCGTTTTTCTTCTTTCTTTTTCCTCTCAGTTAGAGATCAGGTTTCTGAAACATACATTAGGACTACCTTATGAGTGTATTTTGTTTTTCTGGAAAAAAAAAGTGAGATGTCAATAAAGTGTGAAGTCCAAAAAGCGTTTTGTTCGCCGATGAAATTAGGATTTTAAAGATAATGTCGCTGCTGTGTTAACAAAAGATTCAAGGTAATTAAAACCAGGTAATGGGATTTTTTCCAGCTACGAAATTTAACGTGAAGATAAAGTACTAACAAAATTATTATAAGAATTTACTTTTTTCTTCAATATAATTTAACATTATAAGGCAAGAAAAAAATCATAAACATGTTTCATTAATATCACACTGCGACATGGCCATTTTAGTATTTAGTAAAATCAATCCTCTGATGCTTTTGATTTGACTCTGCATTGATTTAATACGTTTTTATTCACTTAGTTCTCTATATTTTAAGAAAATTTATGTAAATAAAAATCTTCAATAATTATTGCTACTTTTATTTTCCAGAGCAGAATTAAACTTAGTAAATCTTATTCACTATATTACCGACACAACTGGAAAATTTACCAAACAAAGCCTTACATAGCAAAGATATTGCTATAAAATTCTGATACAAACATTTTGGTTGAGTTATGAAATTGTAAATATTCTTTAATCATATGCATGGACCATTTTAAAAAAAATTCATGATTTTTCAAGGTAATATTTTCTTGCAAACTTGAATATAAAAGGAAAAAAAAGCAAATTAATATATACATTTGGAAGACACATTTTTTGTACAATAAGCAAGTCTTTATGGTACAATAAACAGTCTTACTTTATGTAAGGACTTTAAAGTTTTTAAAAAATTTAAAGTTACAGTTTTTTTTAAAAAATTGTTTTTATACATTCTAATCTTTTAAAACATTTAATTCTATTGCAATTTGTCTCCAGTTTTCTTTAATACCTTTTTTGTTTTTTACTATTACTTACTTATAGACTCATTTGTTTGACAGGTATAAATGAGTAAAAAAAAAATCATTACTTATGAATCTTAATATTGTGAAATGGTTTCGAAAATTTTGTTATAATTAGTTTTGTAGCTACTAACTCTCTTTCTTTCGTTGCTCTCAAGCAAAGCAGTTCTTTTTATATGTGGCATTGCTGTTAACAATTGTAACAAACATACTTACTGACAAAGAAATACCCGACAGTGTTTGGGAAAAATTTCTTCTAAGACAAGTTCTTTGTAATGGGGAAAAATCAAGAGAAAACTGTTAAACTCTTGCTGAGTTGCAGAAGAGTAATTTGATATAATTTTCCAGCAACGCTGAATTCTTCAACGAAGTTTTCCCTAAACATAGTGGAGTATTCTCTAAAAAATTTTAATAAATGTGAGTAAAATTAATTGTATCGTAGTTTAGCATTTAGTTCGTAACAATACTCGATTATTTTAAGCTGCATAATTTTATTTTCTAGATAATCATGCAAATTTCGATTAAATTAAATGCAGTAAAATGGCTTTTCTTTAACCAGAGGTTAGTTTATAAATTTAGAACAGAGGGCTCCGTGGTTTAGTGATAATTTTTGTTCAGTGTTGTTGAAACCGCATTTCTGGTTGCAATGATATTATTTGTTTTAATGATGTTACCTTCGGGTTACCATAGTTTTTATTTATCGTTACTTTATTGGTTCTAGGTTAATTTCATATATAATTCTAGGTAAATTGGTTTATTTTCAAATCACCAAATATAAGGGGATTCTCAATTATAAACTATTGCCATTTGGAGATAAAAAAAAAATTCACCTTTTTTAACTTCGTAAATTTTAATAAATCATGTCATAATTCGTTATAAAATATTGTGTTTTTGTCAAGCCTTGTAGTTCAAAATCTAAATTAATTCTTTAAAAAGTTTTTTTCGATGCAAATTCTAGTTAAATTACATATAAGTTTAGAGTAAAAAAAATAAATTATCAAAATTAGAAATTTATAGTGATTAAAAACTAAATTAATTTATAAAAATGCATTGTTAATTAATGCTTACTTTCTCTGATGTTTTAAATTTTCTAATTAAGCAACCGAAGCAAAGTAATGACTCAAAAACGAGACGTAAAAAATGTATTTTACCTGTAAAATGTTTACAAATAATCATCAATTTTAGATTTTTTCTCTCCATTATATCCTAGTATTTTCACTGTAACCCTATCTTCAATTTTATAAAATTCATACAAACACGGATGGAAAAGATAGTATAAACAATATTTTTAATCAAAAAATTCATAACTCTTTGAGGATAAGAATTTAAAAAAAAAAATAAAACACTAAAATTGCTGAAGTTATTTTAGTTTAGCTCTAGTAGAACAATTTATTTAATTGAATTCTTACATTTTTTTGTTTACTTTGTGGTTAGCATTGAAAACTACAGCTCTTCTAGGAGTTAAAGTGTAATGTGTTCTGAGCTAACGTAATAGTAAATTACATGATTAAACATTGTGGAATATTTGTTCAACCAACATGCTTCTCAAAATTATATTTTAGGAAAAAAAATCTCCTGGTACGAAGTAACATTTATTAATAACATGCATGCTATTAAAATTTTAATTAATTAAAGACCAGGTGTTGTAAAATAATGTAATAGGAAATTACAAGCAAAAAATTATAGATCAATTAATTGATCACTGTAATCAATTACTTTAATTCAAACTACAAATCATTATTTGTACCCAATCACTGAATACTAGTAATTATTGCAAATAATCAAGCATTTGCAATTGTAATATTTACAACTACAATTATTCATGATTATAAGATATTATATTATGAAACATTTCTTTATTAACTGTTTTAAACATAATATAAAACTATTTTTATTGAAATATTATTTTAAATAAAACTAATTTTTAACTGATTGAAAACCTAATTAAGCTCATGTTATCAGGAAGTTTCATATCATTAACCATACTAGCGGTTAGTTTTTCTTTATTAATTACTACTTTAAATATATTTCGAAACCTAGACGCATAATAGATATCAATGCATAATTTTACCTCTTTTTTTTTTAACTCGAAGAGAAATTTTTATATTTGTATATTTTAAATACAATTTTCTTAATTGATAGATTTTAAGCAAACAATTATCACAAATAATTGAGTCGTACAACATTTACTTAAGTAAGTGCTTTAATATAATCCATTACAGAAGATATAGAAACTATTTCACAAAGTAACGGATAAATTATATTAAAATCTTCAAACTATTTTACAAAAGACTGGAATGTATACAGGATTCATTCACGTATTATCTTTGTCAGTGCTTTATGCATTTCAAGCTCTCACACATTCACACACACGTAAAACGTTAGTCACTTGCACTTGATGTGAAAAAATAAGCAATTAGAAAAATAATGTCAACAAATATAAATTCACTGTCCATTTCAGTATAAGACTTTGGCTCTACCCTGTAGTGTTCACTCCAGCCAATAGATGGCGTCACTGTAAATTAGGTCCATCACAAAAATATTTTCTGTACTGTCATTTCCTTCAGCAGTAAAAGTTCATATCTTTGTGTGACGCATATGGCTGAAATCCAGATTTTTAGTCTTTCGAAAAAAAAAAAAAATACAACATCAAAGGAACAACTGGTCGGAGGGCCGTGCTGCCCGCAGCGAGGACTAGCCACCAGAACTCACTATTAAATATTTTTTACAAAGTTTTTTAATCCTATTGTTTTTTTTTTACTTGACTTAGACAATAATCACTATCTTGGATTTTCTCCTCCCAACAAAAAACTGCTTGAAAATCGTTTGAACGCTATTAAAATATAACACTAAAACCTTTTACTTTTGGCAAAGTATTATTTAAACTATGAATGTTAATTTATTTCAAACATTCAAATTTTAGATAAATGATAATTTTTTACAAATCATTTCTTAGTAATAAATAAATTTTTATTCACCGAGATATGGAATAGGAATAATGCGTGTGTAATAATTTTTGTATATATATGATACACACACACACATATATATATATAAACGCGAATTTTAAAATTTAATTTCAGTCACATTTTCGTATCATAGATACTATTCCGTAAGTAACAACAATCAAAATAAATAAATTCACTCTCTAATGCATAATAGCGTTATTGTTAAACTGATAAATTCAAGCAGCTTAAGCTAGTTGGAAAGAAGCATGGTCCAAGAATGGGCACAAATAGCATCAATAGATTTAATCAATGCCTCTGTGGATGATATTGTTCTTGCCTATTTGAACAGAAGTGAACTTGTGGTAAATAAAGTTCTTGTTTCTTTAGTTGAAAGTGTTCGAGGTATGGTGATTGGCTGACGGTGGCCACTTGAAGTGCCTCTGGCAATAGCGAGGAGCTCTTCTCTGATGATTCTGACTGGAACGGTTTCGTTTTCGTTCTCACATCAGGAATCTGAAAGTTAAGAACGTCTAAGTAAGCGAAATAATTTTTAATGCATTTATAGATCTAATATACTTAAAAAAAATTATATTAAATAATGAAATAACTAAAATAAAATAAAAAATTTCACATTCTATAATTTTATATATGCATTATTTGTTTTCAACTTGAGAAATATGATATCAATCACATAACCAGAAAATTTTGTTTCGCCATCATATAATGCTCAGTCATTATCTAGGCTTCATCATCCAAAAATGATAAAATAAAACAAGCATGTTCATACTAGTGGTTATTTCAGTTAGAATCCCTTAATAAAACTTGACCAAAACATCGCTGGGCAACTCGCATAAAATGATGGTTTTCACGGTTTCTCGAATGGTGAATCATTTTTTGTCCAGTGAGCTTACAATAAAAGCGTTAAATTTCCCTAGAAGCGCATTTAATAGTAACGTAGTTTAAAAACTATTATTAAACTTTTCGGAATTGCTCGGAAGAGCCCATTATTGATCTCCTGAAAGCATTATTTGAAAGGTCTTATTTTAAGTTATCAATGGTATCAAAAACCTTTTATTTCTTGGTAGTTTTCATGGATCAGCAAATTGACACATATAAATAATTTGACTAATAATTTCAGATCTTCCAACCTTCTGAAATTCAAGAAGCTTGATACTTTTTGTAGACCACTGCATAGAATAAGCGGAACAATAAAGATTGAAAAACTAAATAAATTCACATATTCTTTAATTTAAATTTATACAAGCAATTTTTTTACTCCGAAAACTGAAAAAATAATACATCAATCTATTGTTTTAGCAGATTGAGAGCCTTATATATCATTTTATGAAATATCATGCAAAAAAGTTTTCTAAAACTTTTCCTTCTCATGATACTGTTCTCGATGATCTAAAAATTTTACTTTATCGTACCATATCGGTAAACTCTTTAAAAATCTCGAGATTTTGTAAAGATTTTAATTGTAATATAAGTTATAATAGACTAAAAAACATTCCAGATCCCAAACAATTACTTAAAAAATACCCAATTTGATTCTCATGAAATAGTTAATTTTATCTTTAATTTAAATACCAATAATTTTGAGGTAAAACTTGTAATGATGTTAAAAATCTAACAAGATAAAATGGTATTAAGAATCTTCTTATGAAGTGGTAGCCACGGGTTAAATTAGTCTCTGGTTAAGTAGACTTGACTTGATATTTTAAGAACTAATATTTTAATTTTACTAATAGTTACTAGGCGAACAATATGAATCAATTTTCTACAAAAAAATTATCAAAAACACAAGCAATAGTTGAAAGTGAATTACCATGGATGGGGTATGCTGTTGCACTAGGCAGTGGCTGATCCCCTCCTCCACGCTCTTCGGATAGTATGCGTTGTACTTCCGCCGCGATTTCCTGCGAAAATAACAAAAATAAAAAATAAAATTAACTAAAATCCAAAATCATGATATGCATTTAAAAAGCTAAATAATCGGGCATTTGAATTACTGTGTTAGACTAGAAATAATTTTAGTAAAAAAAGCTATAAAAAATTGCATTGTAACAGGTTGTAAAAATTTGGCTTTTAGAAAATTGTAATGTAAAACTGTAATACCTTACTGGAAAATCCCTTTTCAAACAAAATATTTTAAGATACATTTCTTTTTATCAAAAAAAAAAAAATTATTATTGGTAAAATGGAATATATAAATTCGATTCTTTAAATATAATTTATTTATAAGCGCTACTGAATCTATCTACCAGATTATGTAATTAAATTATGAATTATATCTTTAATTTAGTACAAAATTAGCGGTAATTTGTGTATACTTTAAAATTATTATTATAAACTAGGTCTTTGAATATTTTTGAAAATACAGCATTAGTAAAAGAGAGCATTTGCATTTTGACGGTGACAGATTTTGTTTATAGCTAAGGAATGAACTACTTATATATTACCTCAACTAATGTACTCAGTTTAATAATTAATTATGTATACTTAATTATTAAACTGAACAAGGAATTCATGAACAAGGATATACTCAGTTAGAGCTAATACAATAAATGGTTGTCTTTAGTAATTCCGCTAATTATTATTTCGTTGTGAAAACAGACAAAATTTTTATTTACAAAAAATAATTAATTAATGTGAGGAAGTGATAAAAATATCGATATTGTGTAGTAAGAAAAGGCTCGAGGCAACGATTTTCATAGAACGATATTTAAATATAATTGTTTTCAATTGATTTCGGAGGGGGGGGGGATATTAAAGTTGGTATTTCCACTTTAAATTCCAAGTTGACCAATTCATAATCACAAACTATTATTAAAAGTTCATTTTTAATTTTGCCATATTACGTTCTCATAAGTTAAAACAACGCTTTAACTTAGACGAGTGTAGTTAAATATTACCGCTAATTAAATATACTGCTATTATAAATCGATATTTTTAGATTTATTTCTGTTTAACTAAATATGCATTCTAATTAAATTCTCCCTAACTATAAGTATTTGTATTCTTGCTTACGTGAACCATAATAAAATAAATTCAACTTTTTTGCTGGGGGAAAGATTTGTTTGAATTGTTTCTTTTGCCAATCACCGTTACTCATATGATTACTAAAACTGGCTCTCTGCAGTCGCCATTACAAGCCAAAAATAACAGACGTAAAGTACATAATTTTTTTACGTTTCCAAGTGCTTAGATAAAATCTTCCTAACTGAATATTTTAATTTAAAGCCATATTACAAACCATAGTTTAATAATTTTTGTCTTTAAATTTTTTGGCGAAAATTGATTAATCTGCGTATTTTACATAGGTAATAAAAGAATAAAGGATCGAACTTTGCGTAAAAATAATATTAATAAAGCATTTAATACGTACTTCATTAGATAAATAATGAGATAGATAAAAGCTATGAATGCGACTATTATTAGCACTCCACCAGCGATTCCCGCCGTTTGAATCTCTCTCTCTCTGCTGGCTGTAAACATAAAATAAACACAAATTAAGTTACAAGTAGAAAAAACACACACACAAAATACATCTATTTATATACAATTCATCAAAAACGTAATATAAGGAACTTCAGCGGACGTTTCAAGTTATGCTTATTAAATCATACAGACCAAATGAAAGAATTTATTAAAAGCATATGACAATATTTAAAATTGATTTTACTTTAAGTGCAAATAAATCAAACAAAACTTTCTACTAATAACGATGACCTTTAATGTACTAATAAGCATATAGGTAGTTCGCTTGGTCTATTATTAGAGCGTCGTTTTATTTAATTTTTAGTATCACTTTTTTGCTTGTGAATCTTTGGCTTCTAGCGGACGGTTTTTTTTCCGCCCTCAGTAATCATGTTTTAATTTTCTGTTGTTTTTCGAAGTAATAGTTATTAGAACAAAAAAAAGGTAAAATTTAATTGATATTTCATGTAACGTGATTTTTTTCAAAAAGTAAAAGTCTCAAGGGAATTTGATTGAACGAAGATTACAAAACAGAGTTGATACAAAAAATATCTGAAAAAAATAGACTGAAAAAATTCTGAACAATTATTATTAGAAAAAGAAAAATCACAAAGCATGAATTCCATTGGTAGTTTCATAAGTTTTGCGCAACCGGAGTTAAAATCCTCAGCAGTAGGCATTATTTATTATTTATTTTTAAAAGACAATTTTAATTTAAGTTATTTTTTAAGGAGACAAAGAAGAGAGGATAAATGTAGCATTATGCGTTTCTATCTTTCACAACTGTATTTTATCAATTTCGTATTAAATTTGGTGTAAATTATTATGTAAAAGATATTGTTAATAACATTATTTATTGAAAATTTGAATTTCAAACGAGGTGATCAATTTAAAATTATTAAAATGTTCACGGAATGATAAAAGAAAAACTTCGAATTAAAATTTGAACTGCAAAAAAGAAAAAAAATTCTGATTATTAAATATAATTAATACAACTTTTTTAGGAGTAAATTTTAAAATTGCTTTCTAAATGTGCAGTTCATAATGTAAATTTCATCAAAATGTTATGCTTAATAAAGATTTAACCGCAGTTTATTGCATAAATTTATATTTCGTAAATTTATAATTTATATTTTGTTCCTCAGACTTTTTACAGAACAAATAAAAATTATGATACTTTTTCACTAAAAATTTAGTAAATCTCAGTTAAATAATTTACAAGGTATTTGCATAAATTTATATTAATTAAATTATACCAACAAAAAGTTTACAATGTATAATTTAACTTAATATGTTTTATACGTTACTGAAATATAAGTTTTTTAAAGTCTAAGTCTTTTTTAAAGTTTCTTAAATAATTGAACTTATAATTAATTACGGATCTTAATGAATACTTAGTTAATTGTGTCAGTGAATCAATCTAAATATCTCTCAAAAGTTTTTAACTATTCAATTTTGGATACAATTTCGAATTCGGTTTAAGTTATATCAAATAAAAAGTTTCAGAATAAAAAAAGGACCTATATCTACTCTCAGAGGGCTATTATTGCAATAACGTCTATTACATTACATAATTATTGTAATTCTATTCGTAAATTCTAATACATATAACGAATAATGCACGTTTTACATAATTAATGCATGATTTTCATATAACAATCAAAGCATTGGGAAAACAAATACATTGTACTACATCTTAAAATATATAGCTTCTGTGTTTTAGAATTTCTTTCCGATATAATTACATATCTAAAATCAATTTAGAAATAATCAGAGACACTGATATGCAATGTAGTAATAATCAGAGACACTGATATGCAATGTAGTAATAATCAGAGACACTGATATGTAACGTAGTAATAATCAGAGACACTGATATGCAATGTAGTTGTTTGACCTTTGCTAATTAAATTAGAAAAGAAAATTATAAGTACATTATACCAACAAACCATTCAGAGAACATCAAATGATGCGTACTTACGGAGATAGGAACCGTCCAAATCTTTGAACTCACATCGTTGACCCATATAGCCATCCGCACATCTAGAAGTAAATAAAAAGAAGACACATTAAGAACAATTTATTACAATTATTTTATAATTCTGAATCTTTTAAGTTATCAAGTAATATTTTTCTCTATAAATAAAGTTCTTAAAAACCAGCAGCAATGAACTTAAAATACTTTTGCCTAAATTTGTGTACGTGAAAGGTGTATAGTAAACGAAAACGTGATTTTGCCCACATTTCATAGGTTACATTTTGAAGAGGTAATTTCTTATAAAACCTGATTAAAAATAATATTTAAATAGTAATAGATTAATTGACGAACAAAACTAGCCACAAAATGCAAAACAAATAATTTTAATTTATACAATGTTTTAATTGGTTCTCTATTTTAGCATAAATTTCTTTACACAGAAAGCAGATTATAATTAGTAATTATGAAGGCCACTCGAAAAAAATCAAACTTTTTAATGAAAATCTTGACGAAATGCATTTAGAAAAATCTTCTAAGTAAATTTACATCTTATCTTTTATCTAGAAATCTATGTCTAAGTGGAGGAATGTTCTTCCGAAAGTCAAATAAAATTTATCATCATTAATTAGGGATAGTGTTTCGAGTACTTATACTCCTTGAGTAGGCGATTGACACAATAAAAATATCATATTGCGCTTGTCTTTTTTAATACTTTTTTATGTGAATTTTATATAATGGAAGAGAAAATATACTTACTCGCAGTTATATAAAATTGAATCCCTGATCTTTACTGCGAAACATGTGGCACCGTTTAGGCAGTACCACTTGGCGTAGGCTTCTGGGCACGCGTAAGTTTGGAAGGTAATGTTGGGCCGCGTTGTGGCAATCGTTGTGGGACGAGGACGATTTGGTGTAGATCTCGACGAACAAGAAACTGAAATAGAAATCACTCTTATAAAATAAATGTTTGGATAGCATATTCTTTTATATGTACACTTAAATTTAAATTGTTCAAGTACTGTGTATTATTCACAAGTTGCTATTATTTCCAGGACAAACCAAATGACTTCCGAAAATATTATGTGAATTACAAGCCCATTTAATACATTTGAAGAAGTAACTTCAAACTGATGCAACACACATCTTTAGCTGTGAGTAAAATCTTAACCTTGTTTTTATTTATTTGTTTTTTTAAGCAAATTGTTTGTTTAGCAATTCTGGTTTTGGAAAAGTCTGCATAAGATTTGTCTGAAGATTTTCGTGAATGATTTTGGTCTGTAACATCAAAACCAAAAAATTTGCTTCGAAGATGTCGAAGTAAGGCAGGTGAAGGTTAATTCGAAATATATTAAATGAGAATGTAATTCCAACAATATTCTGAGCAGTTCAGTTCTGAAAATAAATAGCTGCAACTTTTAAAATCTATGCTTTGGTTCAGTTTTGTTTCTCAAAAATTACCATTCTTATAACAATAATCAGAAAAAAATGGTTATCATCAATTACTGTGATTTGGCTTACATGAGAATTTATCAATAGTCATTTTTTCAACTATTATGTAGATTTAGTATTGCATACACTTTCAGAAAAATCAGATTAGCGTCATACCATAATGTCGTGCAAATTTGCTGTAATCTTAATAATGTTTGAAATTGAATCACAAGACGAACAATAGAAGGTAAAATCAAGTTTAACAAGTATGTACTATAAAATTGTACAACCTAGCATAATAATAAAGTTGCAGCAAGTTCGAACGATAATATGGTTTGACACACGCCAAAATTTCTTACTGTGCATTCATTACATCAAAAATAATTTCTCATAACCTATTTTTTTTTAAAATTAAAAATACTTAAAACCATTGCATAAAATTGTTCAAGTATTTTTAAAATTGGTAATTAATTCTTTTTATTGAATTACAAATTTACGGAAAAAAAATGAAATTGGTTGTTGCATTTGCATGGATTGTATTCATGGATGTTTATCAATAAAGAAAACAGCGGCCATAAGTTTTCAACAACAACGTTATTAAATGTAGAAAAAGCTCCAATGAAGAATCCTTAATGTACCTTTTTTTTTCCAATTTTCTTTACTTACATTTAAAGATTTTTTTTTAATGGCTGCATAGTTTTCAAAAATAAACACATTAATCACCGAGACGTAAAGGAAACGGAATGCATAATTGAGGCATCGTACGGTGACATTCCTGTCTTAATAGAGCCACTGACACCCAGGGTGATCCCGCCTCCCTAACTTTATAATGACAATATATCTTCATTCCTTTATTTGTATAGCGGGCCACCATAACAAATCCATCACAAATGCAACCGACCTCTGAAGTAAACAAGAAACGAAAAGCGATCAGTAGTTTCTGCACCATGGCCCACACACGACTTAAGAAAAAAAAAATTCTCGAATCTCACTTTACTTTTCTTCCACCACGAAGAATAATAAAAAACAAATAAATAAATAGACGGTAGAGAAGGGAGGGATGAAATGATAGCGGTCATCCACCAGTAATCTTTAAATGAAGCGATCACAGTCCGTCGATTACAGGGCGCACGATCTATTTTCAGAAAAAAAGAAGCCCCGACTCCGCTTGGCCAAAGAGGCGTGGTAGTTGGCAACAACCGAAGGGCGACGCCTTTTTTGCGCCCGCTCTCTCCTTTGCAACTCACAAACGAGACACAGGCATTCATTTTTTTTATTTATTTATTTTTACTTTTTTGTTAATTCTTTTGCCTCGCCGACGATAAAGTATACATGCATATAAAGATTTTTTTTTCTTCCAAGAGACCACCAAGAGCTGTAAGCCCACCCCCGATGAAAGCAATATCTCCGCAAAAGAAAAAGGCGAAAAATTTCTTCAAAAAATTAAGCAAAGAAAACTTGAAAAGACAAATTTATGTTCTGTTTGTAATAAGAGGGGCACTGATTTATACATAATTTGCGAAAGGAAATTTTTTTTTTTTTTTGAAGCGAATTGCTAACAGAGATATTAAGGGCAAAAAAAAGGAAAAGAAAAACTGGTCGAAGGGCGAGTAAAGTTGTTTTTACAAAATGTTTTAACATTCGTAAGAAGCGAATATTAGTTCTTCTAGGTGCTGTAAAGGTCTTACATTATCCATCTCATAACTTAAAAATCCTTTTTTTGTATTAAAATATTAAATTTTTTAAAGTTAATAAAAAATGTCCTTACAATACTTAGTAAATGAAAACAAATAATATCTTTTCTGTATTTATGTTTTTAAAGTAAACAGTATCTTTAAAATTATATATTATTTAATATGTAGTATATATTTTTATGTGAATATTTTCCACTTGAAGAATTTAGTAATGAAGACTCACAACGGAAAATTATTTATTAGTTTTTATAAGTAAGAGTTTTACTGTGTATAAACTAAGGATATTTACATTTTCCGCAATTTAAATAGTATAAAAACTACGTATCTTTTTTAAATAATTCGTTTTCATTATCAGACCTTTTTATTTATTAAATTATTATAATTTTTTTGTTCGCTGCCTTAAAAAGAGAGAAGTTCATTCTCTTGAATATAACGCCTGTAGACTCATTTTTAAAATACATACATTAAAAAATACATGTACATACAATTTACTTCATACAAAATAAATATTTGAGTAAGATTTTTTTAAAAACAATAGTAATTTGATTTATATTGGATTTTTTTGACTTCAAAAAGTAATCTATTCAGTTTTAAGTTAAGCGGATTTATTGTTTGATAGGAAAACTTAGCACCTGTAAATGCTGTCAATCTCCTATCTAGTAATACCCCTTGGCGAAAATTCCCCACTGAACAGCTTTGCTTCAAAAATCACTAACTTTTACGACTTATTTCAAGAAACCATTCAATTTCTCCGCCTTTCAAATGCTAGTCACAAGTAAGTTATCGTGTTCTTTCACAGATTATATTTAGACTCGTAAATTTTCACAGGTTCTCACAACATTTCCATTTTGGCACGATTTACCGTGCAATTGCGGGCGGTCTCCTGCCACATTTGTTCGACCCCCAAGGTCCAACCCAGTGTCCAAAAAGGTCAACAAAAGGCCATTTTGAGGTAGAGCGGGGTGACCGCCTCAATAATGGAGACGTCAAACGAACCCCTGGGGATTACCTGGCGGTGCCATCAGAGGACTAGCTTAATGGAGAGCAACCACGGGGAGCAAGACGGATGGTAGATTGTTTGCGGAGATGTCAGCTCTCCGACATTCTATGTGGCCACCGTGTAGAGAGGCCCCTTTTGTGCTGGGAATCCATTTAGGCAATGCTTTTTGAAGGGACTTATCCCTTGTTTTGGAATGTCTTCAGCAGACTCCAGAAGAGAATAAGAAAGCTTCAGCTTTTTCACAAATGTGTCAAAGTAAGTTCCTTTTGTAGCCTCCATCAGAAAGACCGCCTTTTCTTCACTCCCGAAAGAAAGTCTCCCTGGTATTTCAGGAATCAAACTGGGAGTGAAAACGTCAAAAAGGGAATGATCAGAAACTTTCGCTGGTTTCGGTATGTCAGATAGTTTAGTTTCATGATGTGAAATGAGAGAAAAAGTGGTTTCGTTATATGAAGTGGCTCAAAACTAGTTTCAATATTATGCGATATGGTTCAAAGCTAGTTCGATAAACAAAATATCTCTAAATTTATATTATCGGTGTCGCTGCTCTTTAATTTCACATCAGTAATTTTTTTTAAAAATTAATATAAAAAATATTAATATGGTTAGTATAATTTTTTAGAAAGAAAATCCCGAAAAATAAGTAGTTTATTGATCATTTTTATGCTATTTATAATAAAGAAAAGTTTTAATCAATATTTTTAATATTAAATTTTTGATTAGGGCACTGTTAGAAATATTTATTAAACATACCAAGCATATGTGGTGATTAAATAATAACGACAGAAAAAAAAAATCTGCGTTTGCGTAAGATGTGTATGTAATATATAGTATATTTAAAAAAAAAAATTTTTTTTTTGGGGGGGGGAGGGTTGTAAAAAATAGAGCAAAAAATGTATGACTATGACAAGGAGATACTGTATAATGATTTTAAAGTTAAAAAGTAAATGAACGTTAATACAGAGTTAAGAAACCCTTTAAGACCGAGAATTGGTTAATAAGTTTTCATTGTTAGAAGAACAAAATGCAAACAAACACCAATTTTGATGTAAGCAATCTAATAGTAATATTTCATGGTTTAAAAATTGAATTTTTAAACTGATTGCAGATTTTTCAGAGACAGTAATTTGCAAATAAATGCTAATACAAAAAAGCAATCTATTTGTAGATTTTTATGGTTTCGAGAAAGTAATTGAAGACAATGCTAATTCAAAATAAAGCAATTTATTAGTAGATTTCAATGCTTTCAAAAATGTAATTATAGTTAACGATAGTATCGATTACTATACTCTTATTATAAATTTGCATAATTGTTCCAAAAAGTTGACAGGTTGAATGGAAGAGTTTTATGAAAAACATTATGAAGCAAAGTTCAGTTAAGCTAAATGCATATTTTATTTATTTATTTATTATAATCCAAGAAATAGACCTTAACAAAAAATACCAAGTCCTGGCGATGAAGTCGCCAACTGAAGAACCTGCTGATGTATTTCCTAGATCAGGTAGGCCACAAGTGAAACGATACAACAGAGGGCCACCTACGGTACGAGAAGGAATGTGCCGACATTCCACACGTTCAGACACACACATACAAAGTGATAGCCGATGACGAACGAGACTATCTAGTTGCTCCCTTTGCCCCTGCAGGTAAAGAGCGCCGATAGTGGGGTGGGTCGAACGAACCGATTATCCAAACCGTCTCTAGACCATTTAAAAGAAAACTCATTTTTCTCCAACTCTCCCTGCAGCCGTGAAATAGGCGATAAGGAAAAGGTGGATAAAGTATGAAAACATTGGTTGCTAGGGGCGGCC